GAAGTGCAGCGGGCGCTCTTCATTCTCAAGGGCCGATGACCAATGATGCTCGCAACCCTTCCACGCCCTTGCTGGCTTGGCAAGAGGCCTAGACAAGCGTAGCCACGTTACTTGGTAGAAGAAAAAACGCTCACTGCGAGCGCTTCTAGCCTCAAAACGCGTTAGGATCCGCACATGTGCATGAAGTGCAGCGGGCGCTCTTCATTCTCAAGGGCCGATGACCAATGATGCTCGCAACCCTTCCACGCCCTTGCTGGCTTGGCAAGAGGCCTAGACAAGTGCAGCCACGTGACTTGGTAGAAGAAAAACGCTCACTGCGAGCGCTTCTAGCCCCAAAACGCGCTAGGATCCGCACATGTGCAGGAAGTGCAGCGGGCGCTCTTCATTCTCAAGGGCCGATTACCAATGATGCTCGCAACCCTTCCACGCCCTTGCTGGCTTGGCAAGAGGCCTAGATAAGCGCAGCCACGTGACTTGGTGGAAGAACAACGCTCACTGCGAGCGCTTCTAGCCTCAAAACGCGCTAGGATCCGCACATGTGGAGGAAGTGCAGCGGGCGCTCTTCATTCTCAAGGGCCGATGACCAATGATGCTCGCAACCCTTCCACGCCCTTGCTGGCTTGCCAAGAGGCCTAGACAAGCGCAGCCACGTGACTTGGTAGAAGAAGAACGCTCACTGCGAGCGCTTCTAGCCTCAAAACGCGCTAGGATCCGCACATGTGCAGGAAGTGCAGCGGGCGCTCTTGATTCTCAAGGGCCGATGACCAATGATGCTCGCAACACTTCCACGCCCTTGCTGGCTTGGCAAGAGGCCTAGAAAAGCGCAGCCACGTGACCTGGTAGAAGAAAAACGCTCAGAACAAGCGCTTCTAGCCTCAAAACGCGCAAGGATCCGCACATGTGCAGGAAGTGCAGTGGGCGCTCTTCATTCTCAAGGGCCGATGACCAATGATGCTCGCAACCCTTCCACGCCCTTGTTGGCTTGGCAAGAGACCTAGATAAGTGCAGCCACGTGACCTAGTGGAAGAAAAACGCTCACTGCGAGCGCTTCTAGCCTCAAAACACGCTAGGATCCGCACATGTGGAGGAACTGCAGCGGGCGCTCTTCATTCTCAAGGGCCGATGACCAATATTGCTCGCAACCCTCCCACGCCCTTGCTGGCTTGGCAAGAGGCCTAGACAAGCGCAGCCACGTGACCTGGTAGAAGAAAAATGCTCACTGCGAGCGCTTCTAGCCTCAAAACGCGATAGGATCTGCAGATGTGGAGGAAGTGCAGCGGGCGCTCTTCATTCTCAAGGGCCGATGACCAATAATGCTCGCAACCCTCCCACGCCCTTGGTGGCTTGGCAAGAGGCCTAGAAAAGTGCAGCCACGTGACCTCGTAGAAGAAAAACGCTCACTGCGAGCGCTTCTAGCCTCAAAACGCGCTAGGATCCGCACATGTGGAGGAAGTGCAGCGGGCACTCTTCATTCTCAAGGGCCGATGACCAATGATGCTCGCAACCTTTCCACGCCCTTGCTGGCTTGGCAAGGGGCCTAGACATGTGCAGCCACGTGACTTGGTAGAAGAAAAACGCTCAGAACGAGCGCTTCTAGCCTCAAAACGCGCTAGGATCCGCACATGTGCAGGAGGTGCAGCGGGCGCTCTTCATTCTCAAGGGCGATGACCAATGATGCTCGCAACCCTTCCACGCCCTTGATGGTTTGGCAAGAGGCCTAGACAAGCGCAGCCACCTGACCTGGTAGAAGAAAAACGCTCAGAACGAGCGCTTCTAGCCTCAAAACGCGCTAGGATCCGCACATGTGGAGGAAGTGCAGCGGGCACTCTTCATTCTCAAGGGCCGATGACCAATGATGCTCACAACCCTTCCACGCCCTTGCTGGCTTGGCAAGAGGCATAGACAAGCGCAGCCACGTGACTTGGTAGAAGAGAAACTCTCACTGCGAGCGCTTGTAGCCTCAAAACGCGCTAGGATCCGCACATGTGCAGGAAGTGCAGCGGGCGCTCTTCATTCTCAAGGGCCGATTACCAATGATGCTCGCAACCCTTCCACGCCCTTGCTGGCTTGGCAAGAGGCCTAGACAAGCGCAGCCACGTGACTTGGTGGAAGAACAACGCTCACTGCGAGCGCTTCTAGCCCCAAAACGCGCTAGGATCCACACATGTGGAGGAAGTGCAGCGGGCGCTCTTCATTCTCAAGGGCCGATGACCAATGATGCTCGCAACCCTTCCACGCCCTTGCTGGCTTGGCAAGAGGCCTAGACAAGCGCATCCACGTGACCTGTTAGAAGAAAAACGCTCAGAACGAGCACTTCTAGCTTTGGCAAGAGGCCTAGACAAGCGCAGCCACGTGACCTGGTAGAAGAAAAATGCTCACTGCGAGCGCTTCTAGCCTGAAAACGCGCTAGGATCTGCAGATGTGGAGGAAGTGCAGCGGGCGCTCTTCATTCTCAAGGGCCGATGACCAATAATGCTCGCAACCCTCCCACGCCCTTGTTGGCTTAGCAAGGGGCCTAGACAAGTGCAGTTACGTGACCTCGTAGAAGAAAAACGCTCACTGCGAGCGCTTCTAGCCTCAAAACGCGCTAGGATCCGCACATGTGCAGGAAGTGCAGCGGGCGCTCTTCATTCTCAAGGGCCGATTACCAATGATGCTCGCAACCCTTCCACGCCCTTGCTGGCTTGGCAAGAGGCCTAGAAAAGCGCAGCCACATGACCTGGTAGAAGAAAAACGCTCAAAACGAGCGCTTCTAGCCTCAAAACACGCTAGGATCCGCACATGTGGAGAAAGTGCAGCGGGCGCTCTTCATTCTCAAGGGCCGATGACCAATGATGCTCGCAACCCTTCCACGCCCTTGCTGGCTTGGAAAGAGGCATAGACATGTGCAGCTACGTGACCTGGTAGAAGAAAAACGCTCGGAACGAGCGCTTCTAGCCTCAAAACGCGCTAGGATCCGCACATGTGGAGGAAGTGCAGCGGGCGCTCTTCATTCTCAAGGGCCGATGACCAATGATGCTCGCAACCCTTGCACGCCCTTGCTGGCTTGGCAAGAGGCCTAGACAAGCGCAGCCCCGTGACGTGTTAGAAGAAAAACGCTCAGAACGAGCGCTTCTAGCCTCAAAACGCGCTAGGATCCGCACATGTGCAGGAAGTGCAGCGAGCGCTCTTCATTCTCAAGGGCCGATGACCAATGATGCTCGCAACCCTTCCACGCCCTTGCTCGCTTGGCAAGAGGCCTAGACAAGCGCAGCCACGTTACTTGGTAGAAGAAAAAACGCTCACTGCGAGCGCTTCTAGCCTCAAAACGCGTTAGGATCCGCACATGTGCAGGAAGTGCAGCGGGCGCTCTTCATTCTCAAGGGCAGATGACCAATGATGCTCGCAACCCTTCCACGCCCTTGCTGGCTTGGCAAGAGGCCTAGAAAAGCGCAGCCACCTGACCTGGTAGAAGAAAAACGCTCAGAACGAGCGCTTCTAGCCTCAAAACGCGCTAGGATCCGCACATGTGCAGGAAGTGCAGCGGGCACTCTTCATTCTCAAGGGCCGATGACCAATGATGCTCGCAACCCTTCCACGCCCTTGCTGGTTTGGCAAGAGGCCTAGACAAGCGCAGCCACGTGACTTGGTGGAAGAAAAACGCTCACTGCGAGCGCTTCTAGCCTCAAAACGCGCTAGGATCCGCACATGTGGAGGAAGTGCAGCGGCGCTCTTCATTCTCAAGGGCCGGTGACCAATGATGCTCGCAACCCTTCCACGCCCTTGCTGGCTTGGCAAGAGGCCTAGACAAGCGCAGCCACGTTACTTGGTAGAAGAAAAAACGCTCACTGCGAGCGCTTCTAGCCTCAAAACGCGTTAGGATCCGCACATGTGCAGGAAGTGCAGCGGCGCTCTTCATTCTCAAGGGCCGATGACCAATGATGCTCGCAACCCTTCCACGCCCTTGCTGGCTTGGCAAGAGGCCTAGACAAGCGCAGCCACGTGACTTGGTAGAAGAAAAACGCTCACTGCGAGCGCTTCTAGCCTCAAAACGCGCTAGGATCCGCACATGTGGAGGAAGTGCAGCGGGCGCTCTTCATTCTCAAGGGCCGATGACCAATGATGCTCGCAACCCTTCCACGCCCTTGCTGGCTTGGCAAAAGGCCAAAAGCGCAGCCACATGTCCTGATAGAAGAAAAACGCCCAGAACGAGCGCTTCTAGCCTCAAAACGCGCTAGGATCCACACATGTGCAGGAAGTGCAGCGAGCGCTCTTCATTCTCAAGGGCCGATGACCAATGATGCTCGCAACCCTTCCACGCCCTTGCTGGCTTGGCAAGAGGCCTAGAAAAGTGCAGCCACGTGACTTGGTAGAAGAAAAACTCTCACTGCGAGCGCTTGTAGCCTCAAAACGCGCTAGGATCCGCACATGTGCAGGAAGTGCAGCGGGCGCTCTTCATTCTCAAGGGCAGATGACCAATGATGCTCGCAACCCTTCCACGCCCTTGCTGGCTTGGCAAGAGGCCTAGACAAGCGCAGCCACCTGACCTGGTAGAAGAAAAACGCTCAGAACGAGCGCTTCTAGCCTCAAAACGCGCTAGGATCCGCACATGTGCAGGAAGTGCAGCGGGCACTCTTCATTCTCAAGGGCCGATGACCAATGATGCTCGCAACCCTTCCACGCCCTTGCTGGTTTGGCAAGAGGCCTAGACAAGCGCAGCCACGTGACTTGGTGGAAGAAAAACGCTCACTGCGAGCGCTTCTAGCCTCAAAACGCGCTAGGATCCGCACATGTGGAGGAAGTGCAGCGGGCGCTCTTCATTCTCAAGGGCCGATGACCAATGATGCTCGCAACCCTTCCACGCCCTTGCTGGCTTGGCAAGAGGCCTAGACAAGTGCAGCCACGTGACTTGGTAGAAGAAAAACGCTCACTGCGAGCGATTCTAGCCTCAAAACGCGCTAGGATCCGCACATGTGCAGAAAGTGCAGCGGGCGCTCTTCATTCTCAAGGGCCGATGACCAATGATGCTCGCAACCCTTCCACGTCCTTGCTGGCTTGGCAAGAGGCCTAGAAAAGTGCAGCCACGTGACCTGGTAGAAGAAATACGCTCACTGCGAGCGCTTCTAGCCTCATAACGCGCTAGGATCCGCACATGTGGAGGAAGTGCAGCGGGCGCTCTTCATTCTCAATGGCCGATGACCCATGATGCTCGCAACCCTTTCACTCCCTGGCACTTTCCAGCATAATCGCAGGTCCATAAACTCACGAATGACGTCTTCACGTTGAAGAAAAACGCTCGTTTTGGGTGTTTGTGGCCCCAAGACACGAAAACAGCCGCACTGGTACATGTCATGGAGCCCACAATTTTCCGTCGTGGAGCTCAATGACCAATCATTCTTGGTTCACTCCCTGACACTTTCCAGCATAATCGCAGGTCCGTAAACTCACGAATGACGTCTTCACGTTGAAGTAAAACGCTCGTTTCGGGCGTTTGTGGCCCCGAGACGCGAAAACAGCCGAACCGGTACAGGTCATGGAGCCGGCAATTTTCCGTCGTGGAGCTCAATGACCAATCATTCTCGGTTCACTCCCTCGCACTTTCCAGCATAATCTCAGGTCCGTAAACTCACGAATGGCGTCTTCACGTTGAAGAAAAACGCTCGTTTCGGGCGTTTGTGGCCCCGAGACGCGAAAACAGCCGAACCGGTACAGGTCATGGAGCCGGCAATTTTCCGTCGTGGAGCTCAATGACCAATCATTCTCGGTTCACTCCCTCGCACTTTCCAGCATAATCTCAGGTCCGTAAACTCACGAATGGCGTCTTCACGTTGAAGAAAAACGCTCGTTTCGGGCGTTTGTGGCCCCGAGACGCGAAAACAGCCGCACCGGTACAGGTCATGGAGCAGGCAATTTTCCGTCGTGGAGCTCAATGACCAATCATTCTTGGTTCACTCCCTGGCACTTTCCAGCATAATTGCAGGTCCGTAAACTCATGAATGACGTCTTCACGTTGAAGAAAAACGCTCGTTTCGGGCGTTTGTGGCCCCGAGACGCGAAAACAGCCGCACTGGTACAGGTCATGGAGCCGGCAATTTTCCGTCGTGGAGCTCAATGACCAATCATTCTCGGTTCACTCCCTGGCACTTTCCAGCATAATTGCAGGTCCGTAAACTCACGAATGACGTCTTCACGTTGAAGAAAAACGCTCGTTTCGGGCGTTTGTGGCCCCGAGACGCGAAAACAGCCGCACTGGTACAGGTCATGGAGCCGGCAATTTTCCGTCGTGGAGCTCAATGACCAATCATTCTTGGTTCACTCCCTGGCTCTTTCTAGCATAATCGCAGGTCCGTAAACTCACGAATGACGTCTTCACGTTGAAGAAAAACGCTCGTTTCGGGCGTTTGTGGCCCCGAGACGCGAAAATAGCCGCACCGGTACGGGTCACGGAGCCGGCAATTTTCCGTCGTGGAGCTCAATGACCAATCATTCTCGGTTCACTCCCTCGCACTTTCTAGTATAATCACAGGTCCGTAAACTCACGAATGACGTCTTCACGTTGAAGTAAAACGCTCGTTTCGGGCGTTTGTGGCCCCGAGACGCGAAAACAGCCGAACCGGTACAGGTCATGGAGCCGGCAATTTTCTGTTGTGGAGCTCAATGACCAATCATTCTCGGTTCACTCCCTGGCACTTTCCAGCATAATCGCAGGTCCGTGAACTCACGAATGACGTCTTCACGTTGAAGTAAAACGCTCGTTTCGGGCGTTTGTGGCCCCGAGACGCGAAAACAGCTGAACCGGTACAGGTCAGGAAGCCGGCAATTTTCCGTCGTGGAGCTCAATGACCAATCATTCTCGGTTCACTCCCTGGCACTTTCCAGCATAATCGCAGGTCCGTAAACTCACGAATCACGTCTTCACGTTGAAGTAAAACACTCGTTTCGGGCGTTTGTGGCCCAGAGACGCGAAAACAGCCGAACTGGTACATGGAGCCGGCAATTTTCCGTCGTGGAGCTCAATGACCAATCATTCTCGGTTCACTCCCTCACACTTTCCAGCATAATCGCAGGTCCGTAAACTCACGAATGACGTCTTCACGTTGAAGTAAAACGCTCGTTTCGGGCGTTTGTGGCCCCGAGACGCGAAAACAGCCGAACCGTACAGGTCATGGAGCCCGCAATTTTCCGTTGTGGAGCTCAATGACCAATCATTCTCGGTTCACTCCCTCACACTTTCCAACATAATCGCAAGTCCGTAAACTCACGAATGGCGTCTTCACGTTGAAGAAAAACGCTCGTTTCGGGCGTTTGTGGCCCCGAGACGCGAAAACAGCCGCACCGGTGCAGGTCGTGGAGCCGACGATTTTCCGTCGTGGAGCTCAATGACCAATCATTCTCGGTTCACTCCCTGGCACTTTCCAGCATAATCGCAGGTCCGTAAACTCACGAATGACGTCTTCACGTTGAAGAAAAACGCTCGTTTTGGGCGTTTGTGGCCCCGAGACGCGAAAACAGCCGCACCGGTACGGGTCACGGAGCCGGCAATTTTCCGTCGTGGAGCTCAATGACCAATCATTCTCGGTTCACTCCCTGGCATTTTCCAGCATAATCACAAGTCCGTAAGCTCACGGATGACGTCTTCACGTTGAAGAAAAACGCTCGTTTCGGGCGTTTGTGGCCCCGAGACGCGAAAACAGCCGCACCGGTACAGGTCATGGAGCCGGCAATTTTCCGTCATGGAGCTCAATGACTTTTCATTCTCGGTTCACTCCCTGGCACTTTCCAGCATAATCGCAGGTCCGTAAACTCATGAATGACGTCTTCACGTTGAAGTTTAACGCTCGTTTCGGGCGTTTGTGGCCCCGAGACGCGAAAACAGCCGAACCGGTACAGGTCATGGAGCCGGCAATTTTCCGTCGTGGAGCTCAATGACCAATCATTCTTGGTTCACTCCCTGGCACTTTCCAGCATAATCGCAGGTCCGTAAACTCACGAATGACGTCTTCACATTGAAGTTTAACGCTCGTTTCGGGCGTTTGTGGCCCCGAGACGCGAAAACAGCCGCACCGGTACAGGTCATGGAGCCGGCAATTTTCCGTCGTGGAGCTCAATGACCAATCATTCTCGGTTCACTCCCTGGCACTTTCCAGCATAATCGCAGGTCCGTAAACTCACGAATGACGTCTTCACGTTGAAGAAAAACGCTCGTTTCGGGCGTTTGTGGCCCCGAGACGCGAAAACAGCCGCACCGGTACAGGTCATGGAGCCGGCAATTTTCCGTCGTGGAGCTCAATGACCAATCATTCTCGGTTCACTCCCTGGCACTTTCCAGCATAATCGCAGGTCCGTAAACTCACGAATGACGTCTTCACGTTGAAGAAAAACGCTCGTTTCGGGCGTTTGTGGCCCCGAGACGCGAAAACAGCCGAACCGGTACAGGTCATGGAGCCGGCAATTTTCCGTCGTGGAGCTCAATGACCAATCATTCTCGGTTCACTCCGTGGCACTTTCCAACATAATCGCAGGTCCGTAAACGCACGAAGGACGTCTTCACGTTGAAGTAAAACGCTCGTTTCGCACGTTTGTGGCCCCGAGACGCGAAAACAGCCGCACCGGTACAGGTCATGGAGCCGGCAATTTTCCGTCGTGGAGCTCAATGACCAATCATTCTCGGTTCACTCCCTGGCACTTTCCAGCATAATCGCAGGTCCGTAAACTCACGAATGACGTCTTCACGTTGAAGAAAAACGCTCGTTTCGGGCGTTTGTGGCCCCGAGACGCGAAAACAGCCGAACCGGTACAGGTCATGGAGCCGGCAATTTTCCGTCGTGGAGCTCAATGACCAATCATTCTCGGTTCACTCCGTGACACTTTCCAGCATAATCGCAGGTCCGTAAACTCACGAATGACGTCTTCACGTTGAAGTAAAACGCTCGTTTCGGGCGTTTGTGGCCCCCAGACACGAAAACAGCCGCACCGGTACAGGTCATGGAGCCGGCAATTTTCCGTCGTGGAGCTCAATGACCAATCATTCTCGGTTCACTCCTGACACTTTCCAGCATAATTGCAGGTCCGTAAACTCACGAATGACGTCTTCACGTTGAAGAAAAACGCTCGTTTCAGGCGTTTGTGGCCCCGAGACGCGAAAACAGCCGAACCGGTACAGGTCATGGAGCCCGCAATTTTCCGCCGTGGAGCTTGATGACCAATCATTCTCGGTTCACTCCGTGACACTTTCCAGCATAATCGCAGGTCCGTAAACTCAAGAATGACGGGTTCAATTTGAAGTAAAACGCTCGTTTCGGGCGTTTGTGGCCCCGAGACGCGAGAACAGCCGAACCGGTACATGTCATGGAGCAGGCAATTTTCCGTCGTGGAGCTCAATGACCAATCATTCTCGGTTCACTCCCTGGCACTTTCCAGCATAATCGCAGGTCCGTAAACGCACGGATGACGTCTTCACGTTGAAGTAAAACGCTCGTTTCGGGCGTTTGTGGCCCCGAGACGCGAAAACAACCGCACCGGTACAGGTCATGGAGCCGGCAATTTTCCGTCGTGGAGCTCAATGACCAATCATTCTCGGTTCACTCCCTGGCACTTTCCAGCATAATCGCAGGTCCGTAAACTCACGAATGACATCTTCAAGTTGAAGTAAAACGCTCGTTTCGGGCGTTTGTGGCCCCGAGACGCGAAAACAACCGCACCGTTACAGGTCATGGAGCCGGCAATTTTCCGTCGTGGATATCAATGACCAATCATTCTCGGTTCACTCCCTGGCACTTTCCAGCATAATCGCAGGTCAGTAAACTCACGAATGACATCTTCAAGTTGAAGTAAAACGCTCGTTTCGGGCGTTTGTGGCCCCGAGACGCGAAAACAGCCGAACCGGTACAGGTCATGGAGCCGGCAATTTTCCGTCGTGGAGCTCAATGACCAATCATTCTTGGTTCACTCCCTGGCACTTTCCAGCATAATCGCAGGTCCGTAAACTCACGAATGGCGTCTTCGGGTTTAAGAAAAACGCTCGTTTCGGGCGTTTGTGGCCCCGAGACGCGAAAACAGCCGCACTGGTACAGGTCATGGAGCCGGCAATTTTCCGTCGTGGAGCTCAATGACCAATCATTCTCGGTTCACTCCCTCGCACTTTCCAGCATAATCTCAGGTCCGTAAACTCATGAATGACGTCTTCACGTTGAAGAAAAACGCTCGTTTCGGGCGTTTGTGGCCCCGAGACGCGAAAACAGCCGCACCGGTACAGGTCATGGAGTAGGCAATTTTCCGTCGTGGAGCTCAATGACCAATCATTCTCGGTTAACTCCTTTGCACTTTCCAGCATAATCGCAGGTCCGTAAACTCACGAATGGCGTCTTCACGTTGAAGAAAAACGTTTGTTTCGGGCGTTTGTGGCCCCGAGACGCGAAAACAGCCGCACTGGTACAGGTCATGGAGCCGGCAATTTTCCGTCGTGGAGCTCAATGACCAATCATTCTCGGTTCACTCCCTGGCACTTCCACATAATCGCAGGTCCGTAAACTCACGAATGACGTCTTCACGTTGAAGAAAAACGCTCGTTTCGGGCGTTTGTGGCCCCGAGACGCGAAAACAGCCGAACCGGTACAGGTCATGGAGCCGGCAATTTTCCGTCGTGGAGCTCAATGACCAATCATTCTCGGTTCACTCCCTGGCACTTTCCAGCATAATCGCAGGTCCGTAAACTCACGAATGACGTCTTCACGTTGAAGAAAAACGCTCGTTTCGGGCGTTTGTGGCCCCGAGACGCGAAAACAGCCGCACCGGTACAGGTCATGGAGCCGGCAATTTTCCGTCGTGGAGCTCAATGACCAATCATTCTCGGTTCACTCCCTGGCACTTTCCAGCATAATCGCAGGTCCGTGAACTCACGAATGACGTCTTCACGTTGAAGTAAAACGCTCGTTTCGGGCGTTTGTGGCCCCGAGACGCGAAAACAGCCGAACCGGTACAGGTCATGGAGCCGGCAATTTTCCGTCGTGGAGCTCAATGACCAATCATTCTCGGTTCACTCCCTGGCACTTTCCAGCATAATCGCAGGTCCGTAAACTCACGAATGACGTCTTCACGTTGAAGAAAAACGCTCGTTTCGGGCGTTTGTGGCCCCGAGACGCGAAAACAGCCGCACCGGTACAGGTCATGGAGCCGGCAATTTTCCGTCGTGGAGCTCAATGACCAATCATTCTCGGTTCACTCCCTGGCACTTTCTAGTGTAATCACAGGTCCGTAAACTCACGAATGACGTCTTCACGTTGAAGTAAAACGCTCGTTTCGGGCGTTTGTGGCCCCGAGACGCGAAAACAGCCGAACCGGTACAGGTCATGGAGCCGGCAATTTTCCGTTGTGGAGCTCAATGACCAATCATTCTCGGTTCACTCTCTGGCCCTTTCCAGCATAATCGAAGTTCCGTTAACTCACGAATGACGTCTTCACGTTGAAGTAAAACGCTCGTTTCGGGCGTTTGTGGCCCCGAGACGCGAAAACAGCCGAACCGGTACAGGTCATGAAGCCGGCAATTTTCTGTCGTGGAGCTCAATGACCAATCATTCTCGGTTCACTCCCTGGCACTTTCCAGCATAATCGCAGGTCCGTAAACTCACGAATGACGTCTTCACGTTGAAGTAAAACGCTCGTTTCGGGCGTTTGTGGCCCCGAGACGCGAAAACAGCCGAACCGGTACAGGTCATGGAGCCGGCAATTTTCTGTCGTGGAGCTCAATGACCAATCATTCTCGGTTCACTCCCTGGCACTTTCCAGCATAATCGCAGGTCCGTAAACTCACGAATGACGTCTTCAAATTGAAGTAAAACGCTCGTTTCGGGTGTTTGTGGCCCCAAGACGTGAAAACAGCTGAACCGGTACGGGTTATGGAGCCGGCAATTTTCCGTCGTGGAGCTCAATGACCAATCATTCTCGGTTCACTCCCTGGCACTTTCCAGCATAATTGCAGGTCCGTAAACTCACGAATGACGTCTTCACGTTGAAGAAAAACGCTCGTTTCGGGCGTTTGTGGCCCCGAGACGCGAAAACAGCCGCACTGGTACAGGTCATGGAGCCGGCAATTTTCCGTCGTGGAGCTCAATGACCAATCATTCTTGGTTCACTCCCTGGCTCTTTCTAGCATAATCGCAGGTCCGTAAACTCACGAATGACGTCTTCACGTTGAAGAAAAACGCTCGTTTCGGGCGTTTGTGGCCCCGAGACGCGAAAACAGCCGCACCGGTACAGGTCATGGAGCCGGCAATTTTCCGTCGTGGAGCTCAATGACCAATCATTCTCGGTTCACTCCCTGGCACTTTCTAGTATAATCACAGGTCCGTAAACTCACGAATGACGTCTTCACGTTGAAGTAAAACGCTCGTTTCGGGCGTTTGTGGCCCCGAGACGCGAAAACAGCCGAACCGGTACAGGTCATGGAGCCGGCAATTTTCCGTTGTGGAGCTCAATGACCAATCATTCTCGGTTCACTCCCTGGCACTTTCCAGCATAATCGCAGGTCCGTGAACTCACGAATGACGTCTTCACGTTGAAGTAAAACGCTCGTTTCGGGCGTTTGTGGCCCCGAGACGCGAAAACAGCCGAACCGGTACAGGTCATGGAGCCGGCAATTTTCCGTCGTGGAGCTCAATGACCAATCATTCTCGGTTCACTCCCTGGCACTTTCCAGCATAATCGCAGGTCCGTAAACTCACGAATGACGTCTTCACGTTGAAGTAAAACGCTCGTTTCGGGCGTTTGTGGCCCCGAGACGCGAAAACAGCCGAATTGGTACAGGTCATGGAGCCGGCAATTTTCCGTCGTGAAGTTCAATAACCAATCATTCTCGGTTCACTCCCTGGCACTTTCCAGCATAATCGAAGGTCCGTTAACTCACCAATGACGTCTTCACGTTGATATAAAACGCTCGTTTCGGGCGTTTGTGGCCCCGAGACGCGAAAACAGCCGAACCGGTACAGGTCATGGAGCCGGCAATTTTCCGTCGTGGAGCTCAATGACCAATCATTCTCGGTTCACTCCCTGGCACTTTCCAGCATAATCGCAGGTCCGTAAACTCACGAATCACGTCTTCACGTTGAAGTAAAACACTCGTTTCGGGCGTTTGTGGCCCAGAGACGCGAAAACAGCCGAACTGGTACAGGTCATGGAGCCGGCAATTTTCCGTCGTGGAGCTCAATGACCAATCATTCTCGGTTCACTCCCTGACACTTTCCAGCATAATCGCAGGTCCGTAAACTCACGAATGACGTCTTCAAATTGAAGTAAAACGCTCGTTTCGGGCGTTTGTGGCCCCGAGACGCGAAAACAGCCGAACCGTACAGGTCATGGAGCCCGCAATTTTCCGTTGTGGAGCTCAATGACCAATCATTCTCGGTTCACTCCCTCACACTTTCCAGCATAATCGCAAGTCCGTAAACTCACGAATGGCGTCTTCACGTTGAAGAAAAACGCTCGTTTCGGGCGTTTGTGGCCCCGAGACGCGAAAACAGCCGCACCGGTGGAGGTCGTGGAGCCGACGATTTTCCGTCGTGGAGCTCAATGACCAATCATTCTCGGTTCACTCCCTGGCACTTTCCAGCATAATCGCAGGTCCGTAAACTCACGAATGACGTCTTCACGTTGAAGAAAAACGCTCGTTTCGGGCGTTTGTGGCCCTGAGTCGCGAAAACAACCGCACCGGTACAGGTCCTGGAGCCGGCGATTTTCTGTCATGGAGCTCAATGACCAATCATTCTCGGTTCACTCCCTGGCACTTTCCAGCATAATCGCAGGTCCGTAAACTCACGAATGACGTCTTCACGTTGAAGAAAAACGCTCGTTTCGGGCGTTTGTGGCCCCGAGACGCGAAAACAGCCGCACCGGTACAGGTCATGGAGCCGGCAATTTTCCGTCGTGGAGCTCAATGATCAATCATTCTCTGTTCACGCCCTGGCACTTTCCAGCATAATCGCAGGTCCGTAAACTCACGAATGACGTCTTCACGTTGAAGTAAAACGCTCGTTTCGGGCGTTTGTGGCCCCGAGACGCGAAAACAACCGCACCGGTACAGGTCATGGAGCCGGCAATTTTCCGTCGTGGAGCTCAATGACCAATCATTCTCGGTTCACTCCCTGGCACTTTCCAGCATAATTGCAGGTCCGTAAACTCACGAATGACGTCTTCACGTTGAAGATAAACGCTCGTTTCGGGCGTTTGTGGCCCCGAGACGCGAAAACAACCGCACCGGTACAGGTCATGGAGCCGGCAATTTTCCGTCGTGGAGCTTAATGACCGAACATTTTCAGTTCACTCCGTGGCACTTTCCAGCATAATCACAAGTCCGTAAACTCACGAATGACGTCTTCACGTTGAAGAAAAACGCTCGTTTCGGGCGTTTGTGGCCCCGAGACGCGAAAACAGCCGCACCGGTACGGGTCACGGAGCCGGCAATTTTCCGTCGTGGAGCTCAATGACCAATCATTCTCGGTTCACTCCCTGGCACTTTCCAGCATAATCACAAGTCCGTAAGCTCACGGATGACGTCTTCACGTTGAAGAAAAACGCTCGTTTCGGGCGTTTGTGGCCCCGAGACGCGAAAACAGCCGCACCGGTACAGGTCATGGAGCCGGCAATTTTCCGTCGTGGAGCTCAATGACCAATCATTCTCGGTTCACTCCCTGGCACTTTCCAGCATAATCGCAGGTCCGTAAACTCACGAATGACGTCTTCACGTTGAAGTTTAACGCTCGTTTCGGGCGTTTGTGGCCCCGAGACGCGAAAACAGCCGAACCGGTACAGGTCATGGAGCCGGCAATTTTCCGTCGTGGAGCTCAATGACCAATCATTCTTGGTTCACTCCCTGGCACTTTCCAGCATAATCGCAGGTCCGTAAACTCACGAATGACGTCTTCACGTTGAAGTTTAACGCTCGTTTCGGGCGTTTGTGGCCCCGAGACGCGAAAACAGCCGCACCGGTACAGGTCATGGAGCCGGCAATTTTCCGTCGTGGAGCTCAATGACCAATCATTCTCGGTTCACTCCCTGGCACTTTCCAGCATAATCGCAGGTCCGTAAACTCACGAATGACGTCTTCACGTTGAAGAAAAACGCTCGTTTCGGGCGTTTGTGGCCCCGAGACGCGAAAACAGCCGCACCGATACAGGTCATGGAGCCGGCAATTTTCCGTCGTGGAGCTCAGTGACCAATCATTCTCGGTTCACCTCTTGGCACTTTCCAGCATAATCGCAGGTCCGTAAACTCACGAATGACGTCTTCACGTTGAAGAAAAACGCTCGTTTCGGGCGTTTGTGGCCCCGAGACGCGAAAACAGCCGAACCGGTACAGGTCATGGAGCCGGCAATTTTCCGTCGTGGAGCTCAATGACCAATCATTCTCGGTTCACTCCCTGGCACTTTCCAGCATAATCGCAGGTCCGTAAACTCACGAATGACGTCTTCACGTTGAAGAAAAACGCTCGTTTCGGGCGTTTGTGGCCCCGAGACGCGAAAACAGCCGAACCGGTACAGGTCATGGAGCCGGCAATTTTCCGTCGTGGAGCTCAATGACCAATCATTCTCGGTTCACTCCGTGACACTTTCCAGCATAATCGCAGGTCCGTAAACTCACGAATGACGTCTTCACGTTGAAGTAAAACGCTCGTTTCGGGCGTTTGTGGCCCCGAGACGCGAAAACAGCCGCACTGGTACAGGTCATGGAGCCGGCAATTTTCCGTCGTGGAGCTCAATGACCAATCATTCTCGGTTCACTCCCTGGCACTTTCCAGCATAATCGCAGGTCCGTAAACTCACGAATGACGTCTTCACGTTGAAGAAAAACGCTCGTTTCGGGCGTTTGTGGCCCCGAGACGCGAAAACAGCCGAACCGGTACAGGTCATGGAGCCGGCAATTTCCCGTCGTGGAGCTTGATGACCAATCATTCTCGGTTCACTCCGTGACACTTTCCAGCATAATTGCAGGTCCGTAAACTCAAGAATGACGGGTTCAATTTGAAGTAAAACGCTCGTTTCGGGCGTTTGTGGCCCCGAGACGCGAAAACAGCCGAACCGGTACAGGTCATGGAGCCGGCAATTTTCCGTCGTGGAGCTCAATGACCAATCATTCTCGGTTCACTCCCTGGCACTTTCCAGCATAATCGCAGGTCCGTAAACTCACGAATGACGTCTTCACGTTTAAGAAAAACGCTCGTTTCGGACTTTTGTGGCCCCGAGACGCGAAAACAGCCGCACTGGTACAGATCATGGAGCCCGTAATTTTCCGTTGTGGAGCTCAATGACCAATCATTCTCGAACCACTCCCTGGCACTTTCCAGCATAATCGCAGGTCCGTAAACTCACGAATGACGTCTTCATGTTGAAGAAAAACGCTCGTTTCGGGCGTTTGTGGCCCCGAGACGCGAGAACAGCCGAACCGGTACATGTCATGGAGCAGGCAATTTTCCGTCGTGGAGCTCAATGACCAATCATTCTCGGTTCACTCCCTGGCACTTTCCAGCATAATCGCAGGTCCGTAAACGCACGGATGACGTCTTCACGTTGAAGTAAAACGCTCGTTTCGGGCGTTTGTGGCCCCGAGACGCGAAAACAACCGCACCGGTACAGGTCATGGAGCCCGCAATTTTCCGTCGTGGAGCTTGATGACCAATCATTCTCGGTTCACTCCGTGACACTTTCCAGCATAATCGCAGGTCCGTAAACTCAAGAATGACGGGTTCAATTTGAAGTAAAACGCTCGTTTCGGGCGTTTGTGGCCCCGAGACGCGAAAACAGCCGAACCGGTACAGGTCATGGAGCCGGCAATTTTCCGTCGTGGAGCTCAATGACCAATCATTCTCGGTTCACTCCCTGGCACTTTCCAGCATAATCGCAGGTCCGTAAACTCACGAATGACGTCTTCACGTTTAAGAAAAACGCTCGTTTCGGACTTTTGTGGCCCCGAGACGCGAAAACAGCCGCACTGGTACAGGTCATGGAGCCCGCAATTTTCCGTTGTGGAGCTCAATGACCAATCATTCTCGAATCACTCCCTAGCACTTTCCAGCATAATCGCAGGTCCGTAAACTCACGAATGACGTCTTCATGTTGAAGAAAAACGCTCGTTTCGGGCGTTTGTGGCCCCGAGACGCGAGAACAGCCGAACCGGTACATGTCATGGAGCAGGCAATTTTCCGTCGTGGAGCTCAATGACCAATCATTCTCGGTTCACTCCCTGGCACTTTCCAGCATAATCGCAGGTCCGTAAACGCACGGATGACGTCTTCACGTTGAAGTAAAACGCTCGTTTCGGGCGTTTGTGGCCCCGAGACGCGAAAACAACCGCACCGGTACAGGTCATGGAGCCGGCAATTTTCCGTCGTGGAGCTCAATGACCAATCATTCTCGGTTCACTCCCTGGCACTTTCCAGCATAATCGCAGGTCAGTAAACTCACGAATGACATCTTCAAGTTGAAGTAAAACGCTCGTTTCGGGCGTTTGTGGCCCCGAGACGCGAAAACAGCCGAACCGGTACAGGTCATGGAGCCGGCAATTTTCCGTCGTGGAGCTCAATGACCAATCATTCTTGGTTCACTCCCTGGCACTTTCCAGCATAATCGCAGGTCCGTAAACTCACGAATGACGTCTTCGGGTTTAAGAAAAACGCTCGTTTCGGGCGTTTGTGGCCCCGAGACGCGAAAACAGCCGAACCGGTACAGGTCATGGAGCCGGCAATTTTCCGTCGTGGAGCTCAATGACCAATCATTCTCGGTTCACTCCCTGGCACTTTCCAGCATAATCGCAGGTCCGTAAACTCACGAATGACGTCTTCACATTTAAGAAAAACGCTCGTTTCGGAAGTTTGTGGCCCCGAGACGCGAAAACAGCCGCACTGGTACAGGTCATGGAGCCGGCAATTTTCCGTCGTGGAGCTCAATGACCAATCATTCTCGGTTCACTCCCTGGCACTTTCCAGCATAATTGCAGGTCCGTAAACTCACGAATGACGTCTTCACATTGAAGAAAAACGCTCGTTTCGGGCGTTTGTGGCCCCGAGACGCGAAAACAGCCATACCGGTACAGGTCATGGAGCTAGCAATTTTCCGTCGTGGTGCTCAATCACCAATCATTCTCGGTTAACCCCCTGGCACTTTCCAGCATAATCGCAGGTCCGTAAACTCACGAATGACGTCTTCACGTTGAAGTAAAACGCTCGTTTCGGGCGTTTGTGGCCCCGAGACGCGAAAACAGCCGAACCGGTACAGGTCATGGAGCCGGCAATTTTCCGTCGTGGAGCTCAATGACCAATCATTCTCGGTTCACTCCCTAGCACTTTCCAGCATAATCGCAGGTCTGTAAACTCACGAATGACGTCTTCACGTTGAAGTAAAACGCTCGTTTCGGGCGTTTGTGGCCCCGAGACGCGAAAACAGCCGAACCGGTACAGGTCATGGAGCCGGCAATTTTCCGTCGTGGAGCTCAATGACCAATCATTCTCGGTTCACTCCCTGGCACTTTCCAGCATAATCCTAGGTCCGTAAACTCACGAATGACGTCTTCACGTTGAAGTAAAACGCTCGTTTCGGGCGTTTGTGGCCCCGAGACGCGAAAACAGCCGCACTGGTACAGGTCACGGAGCCGGCAATTTTTTGTCGTGGAGCTCAATGACCAATCATTCTCGGTTCACTCCCTAGCACTTTCCAGCATAATCGCAGGTCCGTAAACTCACGAATGACGTCTTCACGTTGAAGAAAAACGCTCGTTTCGGGCGTTTGTGGCCCCGAGACGCGAAAACAGCCGAACCGGTACAGGTCATGGAGCCGGCAATTTTCCGTCGTGGAGCTCAATGACCAATCATTCTCGGTTCACTCCCTAGCACTTTCCAGCATAATCGCAGGTCCGTAAACTCACGAATGGCGTCTTCACGTTGAAGAAAAACGCTCGTTTCGGGCGTTTGTGGCCCCGAGACGCGAAAACAGCCGCACTGGTACAGGTCATGGAGCCGGCAATTTTCCGTCGTGGAGCTCAATGACCAATCATTCTCGGTTCACTCCCTAGCACTTTCCAGCATAATCGCAGGTCCGTAAACTCACGAATGGCGTCTTCACGTTGAAGAAAAACGCTCGTTTCGGGCGTTTGTGGCCCCGAGACGCGAAAACAGCCGCACTGGTACAGGTCATGGAGCCGGCAATTTTCTGTCGTGGAGCTCAATGACCAATCATTCTCGGTTCACTCCCTGGCACTTTCCAGCATAATTGCAGGTCCGTAAACTCACGAATGACGTCTTCACGTTGAAGTAAAACGCTCGTTTCGGGCGTTTGTGGCCCCGAGACGCGAAAACAGCTGAACCGGTACAAGTCATGGAGCCGGCAATTTTCTGTCGTGGAGCTCAATGACCAATCATTCTCGGTTCACTCCCTGGCACTTTCCAGCATAATCGCAGGTCCGTAAACTCACGAATGACGTCTTCACGTTGAAGTAAAACGCTCGTTTCGGGCGTTTGTGGCCCCGAGACGCGAAAACAGCCGAACCGGTACAGGTCATGGAGCCGGCAATTTTCCGTCGTGGAGCTCAATGACCAATCATTCTCGGTTCACTCCCTAGCACTTTCCAGCATAATCGCAGGTCTGTAAACTCACGAATGACGTCTTCACGTTGAAGTAAAACGCTCGTTTCGGGCGTTTGTGGCCCCGAGACGCGAAAACAGCCGAACCGGTACAGGTCATGGAGCCGGCAATTTTCCGTCGTGGAGCTCAGTGACCAATCATTCTCAGTTCACTCCCTGGCACTTTCCAGAATAATCCTAGGTCCGTAAACTCACGAATGACGTCTTCACGTTGAAGTAAAACGCTCGTTTTGGGCATTTGTGGCCCCGAGACGCGAAAACAGCCGCACCGGTACAGGTCATGGAGCAGGCAATTTTCCGAAGCTCAATGACCAATCATTCTCGGTTCACTCCCTGGCACTTTCCAGCATAATCCCAGGTCCGTAAACTCACAAATGACGTCTTCACGTTGAAGTAAAACGCTCGTTTCGGGCGTTTGTGGCCCCGAGACGCGAAAACAGCCGAACCGGTACAGGTCATGGAGCAGGCAATTTTCCGTCGTGGAGCTCAATGACCAATCATTCTCGGTTCACTCCCTGGCACTTTCCAGCATAATCGCAGGTCCGTAAACTCACGAATGACGTCTTCACGTTGAAGAAAAACGCTCGTTTCGGGCGTTTGTGGCCCCGAGACGCGAAAACAGCCGAACCGGTACAAGTCGTGGAGCCGGCAATTTTCCGTCGTGGAGCTCAATGACCAATCATTCTCGGTTCACTCCCTGGCACTTTCCAGCATAATCGCAGGTCTGTAAACTCACGAATGACGTCTTCACGTTGAAGTAAAACGCTCGTTTCGGGCGTTTGTGGCCCCGAGACGCGAAAACAGCCGAACCGGTACAGGTCATGGAGCCGGCAATTTTCCGTCGTGGAGCTCAATGACCAATCATTCTCGGTTCACTCCCTGGCACTTTCCAGCATAATCGCAGGTCCGTAAACTCACGAATGGCGTCTTCACGTTGAAGTAAAACGCTCGTTTCGGGCGTTTGTGGCCCCGAGACGCGAAAACAGCCGAACCGGTACAGGTCATGGAGCCGGCAATTTTCCGTCGTGGAGCTCAATGACCAATCATTCTCGGTTCACTCCCTAGCACTTTCCAGCATAATCGCAGGTCCGTAAACTCACGACTGACGTTTTCACGTTGAAGTAAAACGCTCGTTTTACGCATTTGAGGCCCCGAGACGCGAAAACAGCCGCACCGGTACAGGTCATGGAGCAGGCAATTTTCCGTCGTGAGCTCAACAACCAATCATTCTCGGTTCACTCCCTGGCACTTTCCAGCATAATCGGAGGTCCGTAAACTCACGAATGGCGTCTTCACGTTGAAGAAAAACGCTCGTTTCGGGCGTTTGTGGCCCCGAGACGCGAAAACAGCCGCACTGGTACAGGTCATGGAGCCGGCAATTTTCCGTTGTGGAGCTCAATGACCAATCATTCTCGGTTCACTCCCTGGCACTTTCCAGCATAATCGCAGGTCCGTGAACTCACGAATGACGTCTTCACGTTGAAGTAAAACGCTCGTTTCGGGCGTTTGTGGCCCCGAGACGCGAAAACAGCCGAACCGGTACAGGTCATGGAGCCGGCAATTTTCCGTCGTGGAGCTCAATGACCAATCATTCTCGGTTCACTCCCTGGCACTTTCCAGCATAATCGCAGGTCCGTAAACTCACGAATGACGTCTTCACGTTGAAGTAAAACGCTCGTTTCGGGCGTTTGTGGCCCCGAGACGCGAAAACAGCCGAACTGGTACAGGTCATGGAGCCGGCAATTTTCCGTCGTGAAGTTCAATGACCAATCATTCTCGGTTCACTCCCTGGCACTTTCCAGCATAATCGCAGGTCCGTGAACTCACGAATGACGTCTTCACGTTGAAGTAAAACGCTCGTTTCGGGCGTTTGTGGCCCCGAGACGCGAAAACAGCCGAACCGGTACAGGTCATGGAGCCGGCAATTTTCCGTCGTGGAGCTCAATGACCAATCATTCTCGGTTCACTCCCTGGCACTTTCCAGCATAATCGCAGGTCCGTAAACTCACGAATCACGTCTTCACGTTGAAGTAAAACACTCGTTTCGGGCGTTTGTGGCCCAGAGACGCGAAAACAGCCGAACTGGTACAGGTCATGGAGCCGGCAATTTTCCGTCGTGGAGCTCAATGACCAATCATTCTCGGTTCACTCCCTGACACTTTCCAGCATAATCGCAGGTCCGTAAACTCACGAATGACGTCTTCACGTTGAAGTAAAACGCTCGTTTCGGGCGTTTGTGGCCCCGAGACGCGAAAACAGCCGAACCGTACAGGTCATGGAGCCCGCAATTTTCCGTTGTGGAGCTCAATGACCAATCATTCTCGGTTCACTCCCTAACACTTTCCAGCATAATCGCAGGTCCGTAAACTCACGAATGACGTCTTCACGTTGAAGAAAAACGCTCGTTTCGGGCGTTTGTGGCCCTGAGTCGCGAAAACAACCGCACCGGTACAGGTTATGGAGCCGGCAATTTTCTGTCGTGGAGCTCAATGACCAATCATTCTCGGTTCACTCCCTGGCACTTTCCAGCATAATCGCAGGTCCGTAAACTCACGAATGACGTCTTCACGTTGAAGAAAAACGCTCGTTTCGGGCGTTTGTGGCCCCGAGACGCGAAAACAGCCGCACCGGTACAGGTCATGGAGCCGGCAATTTTCCGTCGTGGAGCTCAATGATCAATCATTCTCTGTTCACGCCCTGGCACTTTCCAGCATAATCGCAGGTCCGTAAACTCACGAATGACGTCTTCACGTTGAAGTAAAACGCTCGTTTCGGGCGTTTGTGGCCCCGAGACGCGAAAACAACCGCACCGGTACAGGTCATGGAGCCGGCAATTTTCCGTCGTGGAGCTCAATGACCAATCATTCTCGGTTCACTCCCTGGCACTTTCCAGCATAATCACAAGTCCGTAAACTCACGAATGACGTCTTCACATTGAAGAAAAACGCTCGTTTCGGGCGTTTGTGGCCCCGAGACGCGAAAACAGCCGCACCGGTACAGGTCATGGAGCCGGCAATTTTCCGTCGTGGAGCTCAATGACCAATCATTCTCGGTTCACTCCCTGGCACTTTCCAGCATAATTGGAGGTCCGTAAACTCACGAATGACGTCTTCACGTTGAAGTTTAACGCTCGTTTCGGGCGTTTGTGGCCCCGAGACGCGAAAACAGCCGAACCGGTACAGGTCATGGAGCCGGCAATTTTCCGTCGTGGAGCTCAATGACCAATCATTCTTGGTTCACTCCCTGGCACTTTCCAGCATAATCGCAGGTCCGTAAACTCACGAATGACGTCTTCACGTTGAAGTTTAACGCTCGTTTCGGGCGTTTGTGGCCCCGAGACGCGAAAACAGCCGCACCGGTACAGGTCATGGAGCCGGCAATTTTCCGTCGTGGAGCTCAATGACCAATCATTCTCGGTTCACTCCCTGGCACTTTCCAGCATAATCGCAGGTCCGTAAACTCACGAATGACGTCTTCACGTTGAAGAAAAACGCTCGTTTCGGGCGTTTGTGGCCCCGAGACGCGAAAACAGCCGCACCGGTACAGGTCATGGAGCCGGCAATTTTCCGTCGTGGAGCTCAATGACCAATCATTCTCGGTTCACTCCCTGGCACTTTCCAGCATAATCGCAGGTCCGTAAACTCACGAATGACGTCTTCACGTTGAAGAAAAACGCTCGTTTCGGGCGTTTGTGGCCCCGAGACGCGAAAACAGCCGCACCGATACAGGTCATGGAGCCGGCAATTTTCCGTCGTGGAGCTTAGTGACCAATCATTCTCGGTTCACTCCCTGGCACTTTCCAGCATAATCGCAGGTCCGTAAACTCACGAATGACGTCTTCACGTTGAAGAAAAACGCTCGTTTCGGGCGTTTGTGGCCCCGAGACGCGAAAACAGCCGAACCGGTACAGGTCATGGAGCCGGCAATTTTCCGTCGTGGAGCTCAATGACCAATCATTCTCGGTTCACTCCCTGGCACTTTCCAGCATAATTGCAGGTCCGTAAACGCACGGAGGACGTCTTCACGTTGAAGTAAAACGCTCGTTTCGGGCGTTTGTGGCCCCGAGACGCGAAAACAGCCGCACCGGTACAGGTCATGGAGCCGGCAATTTTCCGTCGTGGAGCTCAATGACCAATAATTCTCGGTTCACTCCGTGACACTTTCCAGCATAATCGCAGGTCCGTAAACTCACGAATGACGTCTTCACGTTGAAGAAAAACGCTCGTTTCGGGCGTTTGTGGCCCCGAGACGCGAAAACAGCCGAACCGGTACAGGTCATGGAGCCGGCAATTTTCCGTCGTGGAGCTCAATGACCAATCATTCTCGGTTCACCCCGTGACACTTTCCAGCATAATCGCAGGTCCGTAAACTCACGAATGACGTCTTCACGTTGAAGTAAAACGCTCGTTTCGGGCGTTTGTGGCCCCGAGACGCGAAAACAGCCGCACCGGTACAGGTCATGGAGCCGGCAATTTTCCGTCGTGGAGCTTGATGACCAATCATTCTCGGTTCACTCCCTGGCACTTTCCAGCATAATCGCAGGTCCGTAAACTCACGAATGACGTCTTCACGTTGAAGAAAAACGCTCGTTTCGGGCGTTTGTGGCCCCGAGACGCGAAAACAGCCGAACCGGTACAGGTCATGGAGCCGGCAATTTTCCGTCGTGGAGCTTGATGACCAATCATTCTCGGTTCACTCCGTGACACTTTCCAGCATAATCGCAGGTCCGTAAACTCACGAATGACGTCTTCACGTTGAAGTAAAACGCTCGTTTCGGGCGTTTGTGGCCCCGAGACGCGAAAACAGCCGAACCGGTACAGGTCATGGAGCCGGCAATTTTCCGTCGTGGAGCTCAATGACCAATCATTCTTGGTTCACTCCCTGGCACTTTCCAGCATAATCGCAGGTCCGTAAACTCACGAATGACGTCTTCACGTTTAAGAAAAACGCTCGTTTCGGACTTTTGTGGCCCCGAGACGCGAAAACAGCCGCACTGGTACAGGTCATGGAGCCCGCAATTTTCCGTTGTGGAGCTCAATGACCAATCATTCTCGAATCACTCCCTAGCACTTTCCAGCATAATCGCAGGTCCGTAAACTCACGAATGACGTCTTCATGTTGAAGAAAAACGCTCGTTTCGGGCGTTTGTGGCCCCGAGACGCGAGAACAGCCGAACCGGTACATGTCATGGAGCAGGCAATTTTCCGTCGTGGAGCTCAATGACCAATCATTCTCGGTTCACTCCCTGGCACTTTCCAGCATAATCGCAGGTCCGTAAACGCACGGATGACGTCTTCACGTTGAAGTAAAACGCTCGTTTCGGGCGTTTGTGGCCCCGAGACGCGAAAACAACCGCACCGGTACAGGTCATGGAGCCCGCAATTTTCCGTCGTGGAGCTTGATGACCAATCATTCTCGGTTCACTCCGTGACACTTTCCAGCATAATCGCAGGTCCGTAAACTCAAGAATGACGGGTTCAATTTGAAGTAAAACGCTCGTTTCGGGCGTTTGTGGCCCCGAGACGCGAAAACAGCCGAACTGGTACAGGTCATGGAGCCGGCAATTTTCCGTCGTGGAGCTCAATGACCAATCATTCTCGGTTCACTCCCTGGCACTTTCCAGCATAATCGCAGGTCCGTAAACTCACGAATGGCGTCTTCACGTTGAAGAAAAACGCTCGTTTCGGGCGTTTGTGGCCCGGAGACGCGAAAACAGCCACATCGGTACAGGTCATGGAGCCGGCAATCTTTCGTCGTGGAGCTCAATGACCAATCATTCTCGGTTCACTCCCTGGCACTTTCCAGCATAATCGCAGGTCCGTAAACTCACGAATGGCGTCTTCACGTTGAAGTAAAACGCTCGTTTCGGGCGTTTGTGGCCCCGAGACGCGAAAACAGCCGCACCGGTACAGGTCATGGAGCAGGCAATTTTCCGTCGTGGAGCTCAATGACCAATCATTCTCGGTTCACTCCCTGGCACTTTCCAGCATAATCGCAGGTCCGTAAACTCACGAATGACGTCTTCACGTTGAAGTAAAACGCTCGTTTCGGGCGTTTGTGGCCCCGAGACGCGAAAACAGCCGAACCGGTACAGGTCATGGAGCCGGCAATTTTCCGTCGTGGAGCTCAATGACCAATCATTCTCGGTTCACTCCCTAGCACTTTCCAGCATAATCGCAGGTCCGTAAACTCACGAATGACGTCTTCACGTTGAAGTAAAACGCTCGTTTAAGGCGTTTGTGGCCCCGAGACGCGAAAACAGCCGAACTGGTACAGGTCATGGAGCCGGCAATTTTCCGTTGTGAGCTCAATGACCAATCATTCTCGGTTCACTCCCTGGCACTTTCCAGCATAATCGGAGGTCCGTAAACTCACGAATGACGTCTTCACGTTGAAGTAAAACGCTCGTTTCGGGCGTTTGTGGCCCCGAGACGCGAAAACAGCCGCACCGGTACAGGTCATGGAGCAGGCAATTTTCTGTCGTGGAGCTCAATGACCAATCATTCTCGGTTCACTCCCTGGCACTTTCCAGCATAATCGCAGGTCCGTAAACTCACGAATGACGTCTTCACGTTGAAGTAAAACGCTCGTTTCGGGCGTTTGTGGCCCCGAGACGCGAAAACAGCCGAACCGGTACAGGTCATGGAGCCGGCAATTTTCCGTCGTGGAGCTCAATGACCAATCATTCTCGGTTCACTCCCTGGCACTTTCCAGCATAATCGCAGGTCCGTAAACTCACGAATGACGTCTTCACGTTGAAGAAAAACGCTCGTTTCGGGCGTTTGTGGCCCCGAGACGCGAAAACAGCCGCACTGGTACAGGTCATGGAGCCGGCAATTTTCCGTCGTGGAGCTCAATGACCAATCATTCTCGGTTCACTCCCTGGCACTTTCCAGCATAATCGCAGGTCCGTAAACGCACGGATGACGTCTTCACGTTGAAGAAAAACGCTCGTTTCGGGCGTTTGTGGCCCCGAGACGCAAAAACAGCCGAACCGGTACATGTCATGGAGCAGGCAATTTTCCGTCGTGGAGCTCAATGACCAATCATTCTCGGTTCACTCCCTGGCACTTTCCAGCATAATCGCAGGTCCGTAAACGCACGGATGACGTCTTCACGTTGAAGTAAAACGCTCGTTTCGGGCGTTTGTGGCCCCGAGACGCGAAAACAGCCGCACCGGTACAGGTCATGGAGCAGGCAATTTTCCGTCGTGGAGCTCAATGACCAATCATTCTCGGTTCACTCCCTGGCACTTTCCAGCATAATCGCAGGTCCGTAAACTCACGAATGACATCTTCAAGTTGAAGTAAAACGCTCGTTTCGGGCGTTTGTGGCCCCGAGACGCGAAAACAACCGCACCGGTACAGGTCATGGAGCCGGCAATTTTCCGTCGTGGAGCTCAATGACCAATCATTCTCGGTTCACTCTGTGACACTTTCCAGCATAATCGCAGGTCTGTAAACTCACGAATGACGTCTTCACGTTGAAGTAAAACGCTCGTTTCGGGCGTTTGTGGCCCCGAGACGCGAAAACAGCCGAACCGGTACAGGTCATGGAGCCGGCAATTTTCCGTCGTGGAGCTCGATGACCAATCATTCTCGGTTCACTCCCTGGCACTTTCCAGCATAATCGCAGGTCCGTAAACTCACGAATGACGTCTTCACGTTGAAGAAAAACGCTCGTTTCGGGCGTTTGTGGCCCCGAGACGCGAAAACAGCCGAACCGGTACAGGTCATGGAGCCGGCAATTTTCCGTCGTGGAGCTCAATGACCAATCATTCTCGGTTCACTCCCTGGCACTTTCCAGCATAATCGCAGGTCCGTAAACTCACGAATGACGTCTTCACGTTGAAGAAAAACGCTCGTTTCGGGCGTTTGTGGCCCCGAGACGCGAAAACAGCCGCACCGGTACAGGTCATGGAGCCGGCAATTTTCCGTCGTGGAGCTCAATGACCAATCATTCTCGGTTCACTCCCTGGCACTTTCCAGCATAATCGCAGGTCCGTAAACTCACGAATGACGTCTTCACGTTGAAGTAAAACGCTCGTTTCGGGCGTTTGTGGCCCCGAGACGCGAAAACAGCCGAACCGGTACAGGTCATGGAGCCGGCAATTTTCCGTCGTGGAGCTCAATGACCAATCATTCTCGGTTCACTCCCTAGCACTTTCCAGCATAATCGCAGGTCTGTAAACTCACGAATGACGTCTTCACGTTGAAGTAAAACGCTCGTTTCGGGCGTTTGTGGCCCCGAGACGCGAAAACAGCCGAACCGGTACAGGTCATGGAGCCGGCAATTTTCCGTCGTGGAGCTCAATGACCAATCATTCTCGGTTCACTCCCTGGCACTTTCCAGCATAATCGCAGGTCCGTAAACTCACGAATGACGTCTTCACGTTGAAGTAAAACGCTCGTTTTGGGCATTTGTGGCCCCGAGACGCGAAAACAGCCGCACCGGTACAGGTCATAGAGCAGGCAATTTTCCGTCGTGGAGCTCAATGACCAATCATTCTCGGTTCACTCCCTGGCACTTTCCAGCATAATCCCAGGTCCGTAAACTCACAAATGACGTCTTCACGTTGAAGTAAAACGCTCGTTTCGGGCGTTTGTGGCCCCGAGACGCGAAAACAGCCGAACCGGTATAGGTCATGGAGCCGGCAATTTTTTGTCGTGGAGCTCAATGACCAATCATTCTCAATTCACTCCCTGGCACTTTCCAGCATAATTGCAGGTCCGTAAACTCACGAATGACGTCTTCACGTTGAAGTAAAACGCTCGTTTCGGGCGTTTGTGGCCCCGAGACGCGAAAACAGCCGAACCGGTACAGATCATGGAGCAGGCAATTTTCCGTCGTGGAGCTCAATGACCAATCATTCTCGGTTCACTCCCTGGCACTTTCCAGCATAATCGGAGGTCCGTAAACTCACGAATGGCGTCTTCACGTTGAAGAAAAACGCTCGTTTCGGGCGTTTGTGGCCCCGAGACGCGAAAACAGCCGCACTGGTACAGGTCATGGAGCAGGCAATTTTCCGTCGTGGAGCTCAATGACCAATCATTCTCGGTTCACTCCCTGGCACTTTCCAGCATAATTGCAGGTCCGTAAACTCACGATTGACGTCTTCACGTTGAAGTAAAGTGCTCGTTTCGGGCGTTTGTGGCCCCGAGACGCGAAAACAGCCGAACCGGTACAGGTCATGGAGCCGGCAATTTTCCGTCGTGGAGCTCAATGACCAATCATTCTCGGTTCACTCCCTGGCACTTTCCAGCATAATCGCAGGTCTGTAAACTCACGAATGACGTCTTCACGTTGAAGTAAAACGCTCGTTTCGGGCGTTTGTGGCCCCGAGACGCGAAAACAGCCGAACCGGTACAGGTCATGGAGCCGGCAATTTTCCGTCGTGGAGCTCAATGACCAATCATTCTCGGTTCACTCCCTGGCACTTTCCAGCATAATCGCAGGTCCGTAAACTCACGAATGACGTCTTCACGTTGAAGTAAAACGCTCGTTTTGGGCATTTGAGGCCCCGAGACGCGAAAACAGCCGCACCGATACAGGTCACGGAGCAGGCAATTTTCCGTCGTGGAGCTCAATGACCAATCATTCTCGGTTCACTCCCTAGCACTTTCCAGCATAATTGCAGGTCCGTAAACTCACGAATGACGTCTTCACGTTGAAGTAAAGTGCTCGTTTCGGGCGTTTGTGGCCCCGAGACGCGAAAACAGCCGAACCGGTACAGGTCATGGAGCCGGCAATTTTCCGTCGTGGAGCTCAATGACCAATCATTCTCGGTTCACTCCCTAGCACTTTCCAGCATAATCGCAGGTCTGTAAACTCACGAATGACGTCTTCACGTTGAAGTAAAACGCTCGTTTCGGGCGTTTGTGGCCCCGAGACGCGAAAACAGCCGAACCGGTACAGGTCATGGAGCCGGCAATTTTCCGTCGTGGAGCTCAATAACCAATCATTCTCAATTCACTCCCTGGCACTTTCCAGCATAATTGCAGGTCCGTAAACTCACAAATGACGTCTTCACGTTGAAGAAAAATGCTCGTTTCGGGCGTTTGTGGCCCCGAGACGCGAAAACAGCCGAACCGGTACAGGTCATGGAGCAGGCAATTTTCCGTCGTGGAGCTCAATGACCAATCATTCTCGGTTCACTCCCTGGCACTTTCCAGCATAATCGGAGGTCCGTAAACTCACGAATGGCGTCTTCACGTTGAAGAAAAACGCTCGTTTCGGGCGTTTGTGGCCCCGAGACGCGAAAACAGCCGCACTGGTACAGGTCATGGAGCCGGCAATTTTCCGTCGTGGAGCTCAATGACCAATCATTCTCGGTTCACTCCCTGGCACTTTCCAGCATAATCGCAGGTCCGTAAACTCACGAATGACGTCTTCACGTTGAAGAAAAACGCTCGTTTCGGGAAGTTTGTGGCCCCGAGACGCGAAAACAGCTGCATCGGTACAGGTCTTTCAGAATGAACGGACAGGAATGATGAACTAACAAGGATTGTGAGTACAAATATGAAACCCTAATGTTGTGACCCCCCTATAGGCTAACCCACTACAGCCTACACAAATACAACATGTATAATGTTTGACACACCCCCATAGGCAAAGTGGGGGAGACCTAGGGGTCACAAGACCAGTCAAGGCAAAGCAAGGCAACAACAAGCTCAGGGTGGATCTCAAGGATTCCACACAAATTCCGAGCACAAGCTAGTGGTCACAAGACCAGTTCACATGCAGGTTTATAACAGAGCAAGAGATACAGTGATCACAACCTAGCAAGAGTAAACATGCAGGTATAGATATATATAGTGATCACAGTACAAGCAAAGTCAAGAGGTAAGTAAGTGAGGTCCAGTAGGCACAAGGCCTAGTAGAGTGCAGAAGCGCTGATGGTCACGAGGCTGAAGCGCCTTGGTGAACACATCAGCAGTGTTGGCCTCAGTGGCCACGTAGCGAATACAAAGCTGACCGCGCTGCTGCAGCTCACGAGCAAGGAAGTACCGCAGGGCGATGTGCTTCGTTCTGTGCTCCAGTCTGTGCTCCTCACACAAGGCAATGGCAGCCTTGTTGTCGACGTACAGTACTGGAGGAGAACGAGGCCGCTCTCCGAGGTCGGTCAGCAGGTAGGTCAGCCAGCGTAGCTCCTGGGCAGCCATGGCTGTAGCGTAGATCTCAGCCTCGCAACTGGAGCTGAGAACAGAAGAAGAGCGTGTAGAGCGCCAAGAAACTGAGCCAGAGCCAAGGCTGAAGGTGTAACCCTGAGACGACCGCTGAGTAGCCTGGTCGTCTGCCCAAGAAGCGTCTGAGTGCCCTGTGAGAACAACTCGGTCTCGCCCTCCAAGCACAAGCCCCATGCCCGACGTACTGCACAAGTAGCGCAACACCCTCTTAGCGGCATCCATGTGCTCCTTCCTGTGACGGCCAGGAGCGACATAGCGTGCAAGGATGCTAAGAGGGTATGCAAGGTCAGGTCGAGTGCAGGTCATCAGGTACATGAGGCAGCCCACAAGCTCTGGATACGGGCCACTCGGCTCTACGGACTCATCCGAAGGCAGAGCTGAGAGCGAGTGACCGGTAGGCAGAGGAGTGGACTGAGGCGAGGAGTACGTGAAGCGGAAGCGCTGGAGAACCTGCTGCACCATGTGTGACTGAGTCAGGGTGATGGTGCGCCGTGCTCTGTCCCGGGTGATCCGCAAGCCAAGATAGCTTGTCAGCTCACCCAGGTCTGTGCACGTGTGTCTCCTCTGCAGCTCCGACTTCACGTAGGCGAGTCCTGCAGTGTCAGCAGTGGCAAAGACCAAGTCGTCGACGTACACGAGGATGTAGAACGGCGGCAGCGAAGTGTCGGTGCGCAGGAACAGCGACAGGTCAGCTGTAGAAGGCGCGAACCCAAGAGCCGCAAGTGTAGTCCTCAGTGTGTCGTGCCACTCACGCGGAGCCTGGCGGAGACCGTAGACCAGCCGCTGAAGCCTCCACTGGGTACCAGGAGGAAACGACCCAGTGAAGCCAGGTGGGCGGCGCAGCCAGATCTCCTCGTGCAGGCTGCCCTGCAAGAAAGCAGTGCTGAAGTCAAGTGAGTGAAGCTCGTAGTCGCGCTGAGCGGCTATGTGCAGCAGCACCCGAAGAGTAGTCATCTTCGGGGTGGGGGAGAAGGTCTGGAAGAAGTCAACTCCCTCTCGCTGACTGAAGCCTCGAGCCACGTAACGCGCCTTGAAGACAAGCGGAGAACCCGGCGGCCGCTTCACCCTGAAAATCCACATGCCACTGACGATGTTCGCCCCAGGAGGGGGAACCTCGTCGACGTAGGTGCGTGTGGACTTCCAGGAAGCCATCTCGGCGTCCATGGCTGTCTGCCACTGAGAGGAGTAGGGACCCGCCATCGCCTCAGCGTAAGTGCACGGGGTCGGGATGTCTGGTGCATCCGGGTCTCCCTCAGGGGCAACTAGCAAGGACACGAGACGGGGCAAAGCAGCAGCAAGACACTGGAACTCCTCCTGTCTATCCTCAAGGACGTCCGTGCCAAGAGCACACTCACCCCCGACGGACGGAGGACAGACAGACTCAGACTCAGACTCAGCAACAAGGCTAGCAGCGTAGTCTAGACGACAGGCAGCAGCAAAGTCAACCAACTCAGCGACCAGAGCAGACGCAGCCGAGGACTCAAAGGTAGGGTCAGTGACAACAGTAGCGAGGAGACGCGTGACAGTAGGGTGCTCAGCACGATACCGGTCAGACTCAGGGTCCGGAACGTCAGGCAAAGAGGACGCAGGAGGAGACGGTAGAGGGACACGCTGAGGAGCAGTAGAGGGACGCAGAGTCATGTAGTGAGTGCCTGGGACAGGAGGAGGACGCTCACGACGGACACGACTACCAGTGCGAGCAGGACGAACAGGCGACGCAGGACGAGACTCAGGCTCACGACGCTCTGTAAGACCTCCTGTGGGACCAGTGTAAGGAGAGGGAGCAGGGAGAGGCGAGGTAGGCGGTAACTGTGACTGCGGCTGGACAGGCGGAGGACACTCTACGGAGGGAGGAGGACAAGGAGGAGGAGCCTGCCCAAGAACCTGCTGAAGGAGCGGTACGAAGTACGGTCGCGGCCGCGCAGCGTCTCCGGAAGCAGAGGAGACTCCAGCGGCCGGGTCCTCAGTACCAGTAGTAGCTCCAACGCCCGGGTCCTCAGCAGCAGCAGCAGTGCCACCGCTCGGGTCCTCAGCTCCAGCAGCAGCTCCACCGTCCGAGTCCTCAGCACCAGCAGCAGCTCCACCGTCCGGGTCCTCAGCACCAGCAGCAGCGCCACCGCCCGGGTCCTCAGCTCCAGCAGCAGCTCCAACGTCCGAGTCCTCAGCACCAGCAGCAGCTCCACCAGGCGGGTCCGCAGCACCAGCAGCAGCTCCCACGTCCGGGTCCTCAGCACCAGCAGCAGCGCCACCCCCAGGGTCCGCAGCACCAGGAGCACCACTCCGAAGACTGCAGCGCCGTGTGTACCACTCGCGGATCTGCTGAATGGGGGGGAGCTCCTGGGTAGGAGGGGAAGTACCGGGACGAGCTCCAGCAGCACCTCTCCGGAGGCGGCAGTACTCGAGGTACCTCTCCTGCAGCTGCTGGGAGGAGAGGGCTCCTCCAGGTGTAGCACGCTCAGGCTCAGCACCCCCAGACTCAGCACCCCCAGGCTCAGCACCTCCAGGCTCCGCACCTCCAGGCTCCGCACCTCCAGGCTCCGCACCTCCTGGCTCAGCACCCCCAGGCTCCGCACCCCCAGACTCAGCACTCCCAGGCTCAGCACCCCCAGACGCAGCACCCCCAGGCTCAGCACCCCTAGCAGGACGAGAGTCAACAGCTACCTCGACAGGCTCACCCGGGTCTACCTGGGACACACCTGAGGGAGCGGCACCCTGAGGGGGGAGGGGGTCTGGTACCTCAGCACCTGGAGCGAGGAAGAGAGGCGGAGGGGGGAGCGGGGCAGTGCGGTAGGGGAAGAGGCGGTAGTAGGGGACGGACTCGTCAAAAGTGACGTCCTGAGAGGCCAGGACACGACGCGAGGTGGGGTGGTAGAGCTGCCAGCCAAGGGCGTCCGGGACAAAGCCAAGGAAGACGCAGGGGACAGCGCGACGGGAGAGCTAATCCGCGGACGTGTCGCGGACAAAAGCTCGGGATCCCCAGACCCGAAAACGTGACGCATCGCCAGCCTCTCCCGTCCAACGCAGTGTCGGAGAAGTCTCGGGCAAGGAGACACGGGGCCAGAGGTTGAGCTGATGCGCAGCGTATCGGACTGCAAACGGCCACAGAAAATGGGGGGCAGCCGCATGGCTCAAGGAGGTACGAGCGACCTCCATGACCAGACCAATGCGGCGCTCAGCAACCCCATTCTGCTGTGGAGAGGCCGGAAGCGTGTACGACTGCTCAATGCCCTCCTGCTGACAGAAGGCCTCCAATAGACCAGAGGAAAACTCCCCACCTCTGTCAGAGTGCAGACGCAGGACAGGGAAGTCGGAGCGGAAACGCTCACGGAGCTGGAGACGAGATCTGCAGATCCAAGGGATCAAGACATCAGGGACGTCACCCTTGGCGCGCAAGGGGAAGACCGTGGTGTAGCGCGAGAAGTCGTCAACAACAATCAGGAAGTACCTCTCCTGACCCTGACCACGGACGCGGGCTGGGCCCCACACGTCCATGTGGAGCGTCTGCAAGGGAGCAGTCGTCGGGGGAAAGGAGGAGGAGTGAGGAGCGGCGCGCTGCCGTCCCTCGACACAGGGAATACAGGGAGGAGCAGGCGAGTCGGGAAGGGGAGGGAGCACCCTGGGAAGACCAGCAACAAGGTCCCGTTTGTGCATGGCCCGAAGGCGCTGCACAGACGGGTGACCAAGGCAGTGGTGCCAAAGGACAGTCTCATGCGCCAGAGAGCGACACGAGCAGGGGGCGGACAGCTGACCTGACGCAGACGCAGACGCGGACGCAGCTACCTGAGGGGACTCAGTGGTCAGTGTGTACAGGTCCGACCCCGGCTCCCGAGTGAAGGTAGCCAGGTGGCGACCCGTCCGAGCACACGTGCAGTGTGTCACGCGCTCGTAGGCAGGGGTGAACTGGTGAACACCCCCGTCCTGGAGCGCACTACCTGCCACCAAGTTCGTAGAGAACGAGGGGAGGTAGAGACCTGACAGCGTGCCGGACGGGACCGCCGGACAAGGAAGGACAGTGGGCAAGGACCGGACCCCCAGAGGGGTCAGCAAGGGAGACCGCAACTGGCCGAGCGAGTGGCTCAAGGACAGTGCGGTCACGAAAGAAGGAGCGAGAAGCACCTGAGTCCAGTGTGAAGGTGTGCAGTGCTGCAGTCGACTCAGTACCAGGGGGCACGGACGCACGAGCACCTAGGGCTGCAGCCTCACCAGGACCTGTGGGAGCAGACGCACTAGCACCTAGAGCGGCAGCCGGACTGGCCTGAATGCCCGGGTCGGGCGGAACACGCAAGTACTGAGCACCTTCTCCACTAATAGACATCGCATACATGGCAGTGAGAATAGCATCAAAGTCTAAAGCCCAAATATCAACAC